TATAACACGCAATTATTCAACCACCTGTAGTATAACAAGTACAAAAAAGACTCCTTAAATTTAGCATCTCTCGAGAACAGAAAGCGAATCGCTTGTTTTTCTTTATTTCATAAAATATATCACTCTTCTACACCTTTCCGTCAAACACACATTGTTCCAGCCAACCGTATCTTCCCACGGCTAGACCACCCCAACAAAGTAACCCCAATTGTTGCACGCATTAACCTATACAAATGCTCTCCTTTTAACCTTGCCGTTTCTGAATGGAATGCCTTACCGTATGATATTGCGGTGACACAGGATTATTAGGCTTTTTTAAATCTCCTGATTCCTTTCATTTCACAAAGAAACATAATCATGTTTGTCCCTCGTCGCAGATAAGCCATAGTTCTGCAGTCAGTCGTTGGTTTTCTTTTTGTATTTGTATAATGTTACCATCGAAGTGCATCAATTGAACTTTGTGATTATATGTACTGCTTTTTCGTGTTCTTTTCTTTTTTTTTTCTCTTGTTTTCTCTGTATCACTACTGTCAACGTGTTCTTTTTGTATAAATTTCCCCCTATGTAATGCCCGAAAGGGCCTTTAGGGTAAATGAATAAATAAACAGCTTCGCTATGAAAGTATTTAGTGCTGATGCGGTCTACGGTGAATAAGTACCTTTCAATGGTCGAGTACACTGTTGTGTGGTGGAGCAGTCAAGAGGGTAGTGCTACCATGGTCGCATAGTCTGTATTTGTTGTTCCTGACGAAGCTTATGATCCTCGTTACTTGTACACTAGAGGTATGTGCGCGTGTGTAGTGCAGCCCCAGGGAGAAGCCAAAAACATTTACACTTCGTTTCACCTCACGTCCGGCCACAGCGAACGCAGCCAGCCGTCCCAGCCAATCCTGCTCTGCGAATGTAGTACGTGACTACGCTTCCTCTCGTTGGTTACCGACCACTCGCACGGCCTTGGACTGGCTAATGGCTTCTAGCATGCTCTGGGTCCGGATATAAAGTGATAGAGAGAGCAGACGTTTCGAACGGCAGGCTCGTACGAGGCGATTTACAAAGCGCGTCCCTGGTAGGATGGATGGGTGGATAGATGCTAATTTCCCCTTTATAACAGATGGCAGCTTGCGCCACCTAGCCTAAAAACCAAAAGTGCGATTCAACCCCTCGCCCTTTTACTCCAATGGACCTTTTTCGAGAAGCGTTCTGCGCACGCGCGAGCGCCCGATGCCAAGCGGTGGAAGTCGGCACGAAAAAATCGAGGAAATTCGGAATGAGGCTGTAAATCGACGAGTAGAACACGTAATTGCAGCATATATATAATTGTGTTACACAAAAAAAGAAAGTGGACGGAAAGAAAAACACGACGTTTGGGTGGACGCTACGGATTTCCTTCTTTAAAGTCGCGCTAGGCCTACCTCGTTGCATTGGGCACGCGACGCTGCTCAGAGAGCGAAGCAACTGGTAACGTAGCTCCCATTATTGATCGGTAGCGCAGGTCACTTCCTCGATTTTTTAGTTCGCGCAGCCACCGCCTGGTGCCGTCGGTATATGGAAAAGGTCCATTCGATCCCCCTCTGCATTTTGTTTTATCACCAGGCAATTTTGAGCAACGTTGGTTGTGAGAGCGTACGTCAGTGTTGCCCGACGGCGCCGAGCTGTGGGTCTTTCTGGCCAGCGTGCAGTGGCAGCCTGCGCAGTCGCAATTCCGGACACTGCTGGCTGCTGGCTGCTAAATTGTTGCGTTTGATTGTTATTCTGTGTTTTAAGACCAATAGAATTTCTCGAGGTCTTTGAAAAGGCATCTTGTCATTTTTGGTAACAAAAACAAACGCATGAGATTCCCCGCTCAAAACATTAATTTTAACAAGTCTCATTAATCGAACAACATATTGTGCGTGCTATCATATTTTATTACTTGAAAATAATATCTTTATTTTTATTTCCGACACATTTTGTTTTGTATTGTTGTAGGAATGCAACGTAATAGCGCTTCTAAGCCGTCTAGTTGTAATTTGCAGCTTGCAGACCACGCAGTGCAAAAACTGTAATTGCGCAGGCGAGCTGGTGGCAGCTGATCATGTTGTTTAACACCTGAGACTGTGGTGCAGAAAAGTAAAGAAAAAAAAGAAACTTTTAGTTGAAGGAACAGACACATAACGGAACGTTTAGAGACATTCCCTTCTGTGTCTAATCCTTCGACTAAAAGTTTTCTCCTTTTCTGCAACACAGCCTCAGGTGTTAAACGGATACTGAAGCGAAACTTGCAAAACACCTATTATGGTCAGAAATAGGTTTAATATGATCAATGATATCCGTAAACCATAATCGCGCGTTTGTATTTTGAACGAATGGTTATATTTTTCACCCTGAGAGGCCCGATTGAGCGTGCGCTCAAACATCAGCCATCGGAGAGCGCGACGCGTCTTGGGATATTGGGCGCATTCGTGACGTCACTTGTGCCAGACGGGAAAAGCTACGGCGTGGATGTTGTGGTTACGAGCGTTACCACTTGGTGGCGCGTCGACGATTTACGACCTGTGACAACGTGGCCGTTTGAGATGTGCAAGGGCTGCACGCACGCTGCACCACGGCAAGTCGGCAACCATGGCATCACTGACAAAACCAGCTCTGAGGCCGGATTCTCATAGCGAACTTAGGACGAAAAAAGTGCGTACGACAAATTTGAGAGAAAAACCGTATTTTTGAAACGAAATTGTCGTAACTTTTGCGCAGGTTACGACAGAATCCTACGACAGCTTTTTCCTACGACAGAATCCCACGACACAATCCTACGCACTTTTTACGATCAAATCAACATGGCCAACAGTGTCGCTCAGTTACTTGGTAGCGATGACCAACGGACATTTATTTTTCTACGTGCTCTTCTCCTACGTCCCGACTTCAACCAGCAAGAAAAAAGGAAGGAGTACTTGAAACAGACCACGGCGATCAAGAACGTAGGATCCACAGCATCCGAGAAGAGCTACAACGGTCACGATTCTACCGACCGAGCGAGCTCGGCAGAATATAGTAGGCCTAGGAGCAACACCGACTCGGCGCACCGTTGCTCCGGCTGTCCTTGGCCAAGACCGTCTGTCTGCCCATGACCGGGTGGCCTGCTGAATGGAATATGCCCGCGTGACCTTTGTGGACCCTTCCCGGATGAATAGTTTGATCCCTGAACTAAATTTCAAAAGTCAATTTTTTCCCCTTGTCATCTCGATCCCCTTGTTTTCCGAGACAGCGGTGACGAACGCTGTCGTCGAAAAGGACTCTCATTGATTCTATCTCCTTGTTTCGTGTGACATAGAGCTCAAATAAACGCCATACGAATTACCTTCACAACACGGTATGTACACTTTGTTATTAGTATGCCATTTTTATTCTGACACGACGCTACGTCATTGTCGAGCAATAGCAGTCCGTGGGAGCTACGCGTTGTCGGTCCAACCTTTCTTTGCCGAGTGTCTTGTCAGTATCGAGTTGCAATCGTAAAAGATCGGTCCAGAAGCGCTTACCGAAACGCGGTCTAACAGAGCGAATCCAGCCCTTCGATCAAACGCGCGTGTCCGCTCCGAGTGTGAACAGGTATTTGCGTAACTCTTGCTGACGCTCCCGTAGTGTAAACATATCTTTTTTAACGTCGGCTCCAGGGGTTTCCCCAGGATTCTAATCAAGGGGGGGTGTCCCAATGGCTCGAGTGGGGGGGTGGGGGGGGGGGGGGGGGGAGGGGAGGCGATGCGAGGCGAGGCTAGATAACATATATAACTGTTTCTTTTTTAGTCCACTAGCTAAATTACAACGTCTATTAACTAAATGCTCATACCCGTAATGTATGTTTCCCTTTCTCTATATATACACCTGAGAGGTGGTGTTTTCTACGTAATCTGAAAAAAATAATTTTATTTTATTTTTTCCTTTTTTTTTAGATTCAAGGGGGGGTGTTTAGGAAAACTAGGGGGGGGGGGGGGAGTCTCAATTTCCCCTAGGGGGTCTAGGGAAATCCCTGTCCGGCTCGCAGCTCGCGACTCGCAGTAACTAATACCGGCCGTGCCAGAAGCATGCTCGGGTCGTGTCGTGCAAAGAGCCGCAACGAGAACGAGCTCACTGTGGCCAACTACGCTTTGGGTTTCTCCGCCAAGGCTTTGCGAACGCATTCAGGTACGCTAATTCTGCCGGCACGCCGTATTGCCGCAGAACGGCGCTGCTCCTATGCCACAAGTGATGTCACCAAAACTTTCTCACCATCCACCATATGTGAAATTGAAATCGTTTAATTAGGTTTAAAATTAGTTCTCCTGTGTTTTACAGCGCGATAGTGATATTTCCGAGGTGGTGCCTGTCCCTAGCCCATATGTATGCAGAAAGATTGGCGCTACAATTTCGTTTCCGTACCCCTTGAAAGGATTTGATTAACCACGCAGCGCATCGCTAAATGTAACCTTTAGGCACGACACGAGCTTAATCGCCGTTGTTAATCGCTAATGCCTAATGTCGTCGGCTGCGAAACGAGGATAAGATTGTCTAGACTCGCCACGCCATGAGTTACTTATGTTGTCCGGTATTATAATTTAGCAAACCAGTCAAGAACACTTAAGTAAATTTGGAGGTGCATAAGCCTCTGGGGTTCTTACTCATTAGAGGAGCACGTTCGCTCATTGCAATCATAAACCGACATCTGCTGCAATCGCTAGCGTGGTCCCAAATCCTTATTTTTTTCTGAATTGACAGTTGGTGATTAGTATTTTTCAATATAACGAACGAAGTACACTTCATGCCTTATGTTAACCCGCCATTGTTCATCAGCTGCCTGCAGGCATCTAATGCAAATGCAACCGACGCGCGTGCATCCTGTTTAATGCACAGGCGGCCCGCAGATGTGCAAAGGCTCTGCGGTAAATAACACCGCTATCACGTTCTTTGATCGTTTGTTTTCTGCTCAACAGGATACGAGCAACGTTTCACACAATTTCTAATCTCCTCCGTCATTCACTGTTTATCAAGATGGCCACCCCCCTACCCATCGCAGCAAACACGCCGGCAAACAACGGGACGACTTATGCCACCATCGATCCGGATATTTACATTGTCAACAATAACCCCCAGCGGGCATTTAACCTCCGAATACTGGACCTATTACAAGCCTCGTTTATGGAAGACACCAAGGAGCAGCAGTTTCTGGACGTGGGTTGCGGCACCGGCGATTTCACTCGCGACCATCTTCTTCCACGCTGCACGCCACTTGAAAGGATGGTTGCGGTCGATGTCTCCGAGGACATGGTAGACTATGCTAAGAAGAACTTCGCCCATCCCAAGATCTTTTACGATGTCCTGGACATATCGGGGAACGGTGTGGCTGACTTCGTGGAGAGGTACGGTCAGTTTGATCGCGTCTACTCCTTCCTTTGCCTTCAGAGGACGAACAACCAAGAAGCGGTATTCAAAAACATCGGCGGATTGCTCAAGCCCGGCGGAGGATGTCTGCTTCTTTTCGGCGCTTCATCAAGCGGTGTGCGTCTAAATAAGACACTGGCAACAATGGATCATTGGAAAAAATACCGAAAGGTGAGGTGACATTCGTTCTCAATAGGACAGTCGATCAAGTTTTCTTGTTTTTTTTTATTTTCCTTTTGTTTTGAAACACTCGTTGTCGGATGGAAGGGAACTTTGCAGATTATCTTTCAAACACTGTGCTCAAAAACAACTACTTTACTTTAAATACACAGACACACACACGCCTAAACGGGTACTATTTTTTGTTTTAAGACCGCTACTGCAAAAACACTCAATGCAGACTTAAATCGTTTACACAGATGCGCGAAATCCCTATTTGACATGTAAGGGTGTGGGATTACAACATTTGATGTTTCGAGCACACTCTCTTTGACAGCCATTGTATAACTGCTTCGCGCTCATAGCGGTGCGGGCAACTGAGCAGGTGAACTAGTTCTGCCAATTATGTAGTCCCGTGAGCGCACTCAACTGTGGATCCCGTCTACGCAATTTTCAGGGGATGGGTCACGTTTTGCACTTTGCACATCGTTTAGGTCGTATCAGTGGTCCACCTTTTCTAGGGAAGGTCATCATTTCACAACGTTACAATTCATATGTGCATACATTATATTTCCGGTTTTTAACATCTTACAATCTGGGCCCACATAAGCTAATTAGGCTTGTACGTGGGGTGCGGCAGGTACATGCTCAGCTAAACACACACTTATGTTGAAATGAAATTTCTGTCTCTGGCAACCCAATAGCTTAATTGTAATAGTATGCATGTTGAACTCTGTTTTCAAAGTTTAGAACAAGATCAAACAAAATTTTTTATAATATTAAAGTTTGTTTTAACGTTCATTTACGAACTGAGTTCGAACAACCTATAATGAATGGCAATAAAATAACATCTATAATAGTAGACACCGCCGGAAGTGTGGTTCGCTTTATTGAATCTAATTTTCATATATAGTTAATTGACGTTTTGGTTACCTTTTATCCCTCAATCATACATTTTTTAAGTTGTTATTTTTTATTTTGTTCGATTTTTGCATTGAGTTATATTTTCAAGCAGTTCGCTAAAAAGTTAAAGGATGTAGTATTTTTTGTTGCCTCTCGATATTTCGTTTTGGAGCGCAGCTCTTTGTCACCCGATTTCGGATTGAGCGGCATCGCCGTCGCCGTCGCCGTCGACGCAACCGCACGTTGCATTATGGGACATTTCCCATCACGACGCCACAAAGGTCACGAGTGACGTCACGAAGGTCAATCCTGAAAGTCACGTGAAAGTCGTGACTACGTGATCTTCACTTGTGAAGGTCACGACTTTCACGAGGCCTTCACGAGGGACGTCACGAAGCTTACGAGTGACGTCACGAGGGAGGAGGGAGGGAGGAGGAGGAGGTGGAAGAAGGGAGAGGGAACTGAGAAGAATGAGAGGAGGAAGATGGAGGAAGAGGATGCAGGAGGGGAAGGGGAAGGAGGAGGGGGACGAGGAGGAGGAGAGGGGAGGGAGGAGGAAAAGGGGAGGATGAAAAGGCGCAGAGGAGGAGCATACCCTCCCCTACGTACCCTTACCTCCTCCTCCTCCTTAAGAGCTGCGCTCTGATTCGGCATTAGAGGGAATTCTTTCTGCATATACTTATTAAAATAAATTATTTTTTCGGTTCATGTTCTACGTTCTTAAATACCTTCTTTTAAATTATTTCGATTTTTATTGTCAGATATTTGGCACAGGGCCCTTAAATAGTTATTCGGTATTGTAATGCCGATTATCCTAAGGAATTATATATTATTCGAAGTACAGATCGGGAAACTATACCTTGAATATGAAACCTATGAGGCCGTCAGTATTATCAATTCCTTGCATACCAGTTCTATATGAATTTTGAATTTAGGATGGCGATCTATATACATTCCAATGTATTTTACATTGTCGATGTATTCTACTGCTTGGCAAGAACAGTTGTTACAGTTATACTGTGCTGCAGGGCTGTCAAACTTAGGCTTGCAAGGCACATGTGTCTCCTGTGTCATTGGCGTCTGCCATGAGCTCCAAATCTTTTAACAAAACCAACTGTAAACAACATTTGTTTTGACGCTGAGAATGGTGCAATAGGCTAAAATTGAAATATGGAAAATATCAAGTTCATACTCTATTTATTGATGCATACACACTTAAAGAATATTGGTTTAAGTAACGTGCTCAAAGTATACGGGATATGACAACGATTATGTATTAAAAACTTAGTTTCCTGAATATCTCAATCACCGGGATATTTCGTAATTCGCATGAATATTTTTATGGCTTCATTTTCGGCCACTAAGCAATTCAGCGAATGTCTTGTGAGGCTCATCGGCAAAACCCTGGGATTACCTCTAACTAACGGTTTCTTTTTTTTTTAATTGTTTAAATTAAAGAACCTGTTATAAACCATTGAAGCTAAGAAACACCCTCCTGGGAATATTGGTGTTGTCAAATCATCATCGAAGTCTGACAACAGGTTGGTCACTCTATCTTGTGTATCTAGGTAAGACATACCCAGTGGCGAGGCTCTCGTCCTGAAAGACTTCAGATACAGATTCAGTAGTTTCTTACGACCAATATCATCCTATGTAACATTCTCTGCACCCTCTGAACCATTACTCTCACTTGCACGCAGGTGTTTGAGAATACCACTCCCCCAAGTGGAGATTTGGTGAGCCGAGATGCCCTTCTGTCGTACATGTCAAACCTTCTGAAGAACGCCGGTCTAGTTCCAACCACCTGCGAGTTGCTGCAAGAACCACCCTCGCACTCAAGCCTCGAGGAAGTTACCGGTGAGGGCGGGCATATTACTCTCTCGTGACTACTCGTCTCTGACGTTTGATGGCTAAACAGGTGGCTAGATGCAGTATAGAGGTTTTTTGCGCGACACAGGGGACAATTACAAGCGAGTAGACACGGACAAGCGCAAAAAACCTTTTGCGCTTGTCCGTGTCTACTCGCTTGTAATTGTCCCCTGTGTCGCGCAAAGAACCTCTATACTGCATCATGAACCAACTAGGCCAACAACAAGTTTTAATTGGCTAGATGCATTAATGCGATTGCGTTTAGAACATCATGTTGCAGAAACGCAGGTGCTGGCGGGGCGGAAAAATCCTGATTGGTTGATAGGGTTATGACGTCACAGCCACGTTGCCTCGCGTGAGAATTTCAAACAACCCATAAGGCACACGATGAACGTGACGTCACACATGGAATGAAAGCGATTAAAATATGACATGTAATGCGAAACATAGGTCGCCGCCTCTCTGAACTTATTTCACTTTCTAAAGTGATTCGTTTGCCTTAAAGAAAAACTTTAAAGAATTTTAGGAGGATGCTTGATTCGAACCCACGGCCATTCGGATGCGAGCCAGACACGTCTCCGTCTAGGTCACACTGACTAATTTTTTTTTCTTTGGTACGAATAACAAAAACGGGACGCACAACGCAAAAAAAGTATGGGCTATTAAAGGATGGTCAACGTCATCATTTTAAATTCTTTCATATCCAGCCATGTTTTTAATTCCGGCACCCATTCAAGCACTACGAATTGCCCTTGGTACACGCTGCTAATTTGTACCACAAGTTGAACGAAATGAAAATGGACAGACTTCGGTGACAGTACGGTGTTCCGTACATCCATTCTAAATTTCCACATACCATATCAGCCAATGAGTATCATGAGATCATACGGCGCAGTGTCTCCAGACTCTGCTGGTGAGAAACGCAAAGATGTGCAGAAATTTCTAATTTTTTTTGTAGAGTGCGCAATAAAACATCCCAAAAGGAAAATAGCGTCCCAACATCGAATAAAAACATTGTCAACAATTTTAAGCTGTTGACATAATAAGCAGTTTTCAGTCCATAGTAAAAAAAATACCTTTTTCCCATAACCATACTTTGGTAGGGAGAACAGAACAGTGCAATTTAAAAAAAGAAAGCTTTAGCCCCGGGGGGAACGCCCATTTTCTTTACACGACAGAAAACATCGCCGGCCTCTGCATTCCCAATACAAAAACGCGATATATTCGCACTGGGAAAGCAATAATAAAAAGTTTTCGTGTTAATTCTTTTCTTGTCTTATTAGCGAGGTACTCCCCAAGGAAACCGGGCTGTTAAAAAGTTAAATGTGTCGGCGGCCTTTTTCAGAAACCCTACCAATTTGGGAGGGGGCTTTTAAAAAGAGGACGCAAGAAACGTGTGAATAAACGTAGGGCACACGTTTCCCTGGTATCTCAAAAAGAAAAAAAGAAAACGTGTTACTAACTGTCTGATAAATAAGTGGGACAGCCCGCACCCCTGTTGGCGGTGCTGCAAATGAGATTTGCCTGGCGCATTGCTACCCAAGTTTTATTCCAGATAAAAACTGCAGATATACAATTCAAACTTTTGAATATTGCGCATTGCACAATGCAAAAGTTGTAAGGTATATCAAAGCTTGGCTATCGAAAACAAATTACAGACAGATTCTCTGTTGAATATTGACAGGTCTCCGTGCGCCCATCGGTTAGCACGCCTGTCGATGTCCACCGCTACGTTCGACCAATATGCCATGCTGATTTTGAAGCTTTTTAAGGGCACGCCAAGGTAGTTGCAGGGCGTGCAACTTTATTGAATGTCTTCAAATTTCTCGGGAGTGGTTTCCCACGTTCCGTGCCAGACACCCCTGCACTTCTGGAAGTCCGCTGCAACACCTGCGGCTCGACAAAAGTTGCGCGTCAGTGCCAATGCATGACTCACACTTTTCTTGTCTGTGACGAAAAACACAACCTCGTCTCCATAAGCCACGACCTTGGTTTCCGTGCAGTGTAAAGTGTAACCAAGAACATTTGAACTTTCGATTATGCTTTAACAAAGCCGTCCTAGGTACTAAAAAAAAAAAAAAAAAAGCAACGGGGACAGCGGACATTGCTACCGCAGCGAAGACTTGACAGGGATGCTTTAAAGGGATACTGAAGCGAAACTTGAAATACACCTATTATGGTCAGAAATAGGTTCAATATGATCAATGATATTCATAAATCATAATCGCGCGTTTGTATTTTGAACGGATGGCTATATTTTTCACCCTGATGGGCCCGATTGGGCGCGCGCTCAAAAATCGGCCATCGGAGAGCGCGATGCGTCTTGGGATATTGGGCGCATTCGTGACGTCACTTGTGCCGGTCGGGAGAGGCTACGGCGTGAATGTTGTGGTTACGAGCGTTGCCACTTGGTGGCGCGTCGACGATTTACGACCTGTGACAACGTGGCCGTTTGAGATGTGCAAGGGCTGCACGCACGCTGCACCACGGGACCACGGCAAGTCGGCAACCACGGCAGCACTGACAAAACCAGCTCTGAGGCCGGACTCTCAAAGCGAATTAACGACGAAAAAAGTGCGTACGACAAATTTGAGAGAAAACCCGTGCTCTCAAAACGAAATTGTCGTAACCTTTGCGCAGGTTACGACAGAATCCTACGACAGCTCCGAAGCTGTCTTACGCAATTTTTACGATCAAATCAACAAGGCCGACAGCGTCGCTCAGTTACTTGGTATCGGCCACCAACGGACATTTATTTTTCTTCGTGCTCTTCTCGTGCGTCCCGACTTCAACCAGCAAGAAAAGGGGAAGGAGTACTTAAGTTAAAACAGACCACGACAATCAAGAACGCAGGATCGACAAACACACGAGAAGAGCTACAACAACCACGATTCTGCCGACCGAGCGAGCTCGGCAGAATATAGTAGGCCTAGCAGCAACATCGACTCGGCGCACCGTTGCTCCGGCGGTCCTTGGTCAAGACCGTCTGTCCATGACCGGCTGGCCTGCTGAATGGAATATGCCCGCGCGACCCTTGTGGACCCTTACCGGATGAGTAGTTTGATCCCTGAACTAAATTTCAGAGGTCAATATTTTCCCCTTGTCATCTCGATCTCCTTGTTTTCCGAGACAGCGGTGACGAACGCTGTCGTCGAAAAGGGACTCTCATTGATTCTATCTCCTTGTTTTGTGTGATATAGAACTCAAATAAACGCCATACGGATTACCTTGGCAACTCGGTATGTACACTCTGTTATTAGTATGCCATTTTTATTCTGACTCGACGCTACGTCAGTGTCGAGCTATAGCAGTTCGTGGGAGCTACGCGATGTCGGTCTAACCTTTCTTTGCCGAGTGTCATATCAGTATCGAGTTGCAATCGTAAAAGATCGGTCCAGAAGCGCTTACCGAAACGCGGTCTAACAGAGCGAATCCAGCACTTCGATCAAACGCGCATGTCCGCTCCGAGTGTGAACAGGTATTTGGCATTTGCGTGGCTCTTGCTGACACCCTCGTAGTTCAAACATATCCTTTTTAACGTCGGCTTGCAGCTCGCGACTCGCAGCAACTAATACCGGCCGTGCCAGAATCATGCTCGGGCCGTGTCGTGCAAAGAGCCGCAACGAGAACGAGCTCACTGTGGCCAACTACGCTTTAGCTTTCTCCGCCAAGGCTTTGCAGACGCGTTCAGGCCTAGGCGAATTCTGCCGGCACGCCGTATTGCCGCAGAACGGCGCTGCTATTTTGGCACAAGTGATGTCACGAGAACTTCCCCCCATCCACCAGATGAGAATTTGAAATCGTTTAATTATGTTTAAAATTAGTTCTCCTGTGTTTTACAGCGCAAAATTTATATTTCCGAGGTGGTGCCTGTCCCTAGCCCATATTTATGCAACAAGATCGGCGCTAAAATTTCGTTTCACTACCCCTTTAAGCTACGCCATTATTGCCTGCCAGGCTCGTGTAACATTCTGTATGCGTCATTTTAACGCCCTGCGATATTATTTTCTCTACGCCAACATGTGACAAAATTTTGATTTGAGCATCGTGGTGGACCGGATGGAACACTTTTTCTAAATCGATCTGAAGAATTGCGACTTGATTATTTTCACCGTATACATACTCCAACACACTTCTGGACACACAAACAGTGTTCTGGATTGTCTTGCTCCTTGCTCCACAGGTTTAATGTTCCCCAACAAATTCGCAAAAAAAAAAAAAAAAAAGACCGTCGGCAGTTTGTTTGCTACTATCTTTACAAATATATTACACTTCATATGACACAATGTAGATGGGCGATAACCATTCACAAAAGGCAGTTTGTCGTTACCGGTTCCTTTTAAAAGTAATGCAGTGTTGGCCGTCGTGAACGATTGCTGCAGGTTATTTGACCTGTATGTTTTTCGAAAAATCTCGAATAACACAATGGAAACAACATTGTACTGCGCTTTGTAAAATTCATATATAATGCAGTCCGGACCCGGTGTTTTACTTTGGTAAGGGCATCTATCGCATTGATAATTTTTGTCAAACTAATAATCTTTTCTAGCTCTTCACTTTGCGGCCGTTTAGGCCCGGCAGTAACACTATCAGTTTGGAAAGACCTCCGGTACCATTTAGCCTTGCAGGGATTTCTAAGCAACGTTCGATATTGTTCAGGAACGACGCGCTCTATTCCCTCTTTATCAGCGAAAAATCTATTGCCAAGTTCTATTTATAGAATTTTGTTTTCTGTCTGCGCATATCGCTTTTAATTTTTCAAGGGCATTTTGTGGGCTGCTCTTCAAGGAGGAACTTTTCTCTGCCAGAAAGCACCACTGCACGTTTATAACGATCCTGATAAATACTGTTCAATTTACCTTTTACGTTCATTATGTCCTTAGTTCCGTGGCAGGGATTGTTACTCTCATGTTCGTATAAAAGATACAAGCCAGGTTGAAGTTGTTTTTCTAGTTGGCGCTTATAAAAGTTGAGGGTGTTTGCTTTAT